AACCATGGAGAAAAGGGATGGAGACAGCTACTCTTGCAATGCATTTTTCTTTTCAAAGAAGGGAATTTTTTAAAAAATCCAAGTTTAGAAATATCACATTTATTTACCACGAGTTTCAAAATCTGCAGCCAGTCAATTTTGGGCTTTCCAGAAAGCATTTGCCAGTTCTGAGTAAGCTGTGTTACAATTATAACTCAAGATAGACAGACAGACAGACAGACAGACAGACAGACAGACAGACAGACAGACAGACAGACAGACAGACAGACAGACAGACAGACAGACAGACAGACAGACAGACAGACAGACAGACAGACAGACAGACAGACAGACAGACAGACAGACAGACAGACAGACAGACAGACAGACAGACAGACAGACAGACAGACAGACAGACAGACAGACAGACAGACAGACAGACAGACAGACAGACAGACAGACAGACAGACAGACAGACAGACAGACAGACAGACAGACAGACAGACAGACAGACAGACAGACAGACAGACAGACAGACAGACAGACAGACAGACAGACAGACAGACAGACAGACAGACAGACAGACAGACAGACAGACAGACAGACAGACAGACAGACAGACAGACAGACAGACAGACAGACAGACAGACAGACAGACAGACAGACAGACAGACAGACAGACAGACAGACAGACAGACAGACAGACAACCTGACAATCAGCTGTTTTGATTGTCGTAAAATGAAAAATTGGTTCCCCAAGCAGGGAACTGATCATCGTAAAGCAGTTTTTCCTATCTAAACATTGTTTTGCAGTCGCAATAACCTAAATCGTTAAGCGGATTCATCATGGAGCAGGGTAATCGTCAAGCGGGGCACCACTGTATAAATAACCAATTAAACATACATTAAGATCAGGAGGAAAAGTAGAAACATCTAAACCTATACTGTTAAAAACCAGCACTCATGGGATAACGTTACTGCTTAAATTCTTTTTTCTGCATAACTGTCACTGTCTTTTTATCTTAATGGAAAGGCTGCCTAATGAAATGATGGTGGGGGGCATATTACATTTCTCAAGAGCCAGCTCACTTTCAGTGAGTAAGAAGTAACTATTTTAGTTATTCCAAGGGGAAGAGGGCAGAAGTTGCTTTGGGAACATTGTAACTATACTGATAATTAATAACTTTGGGGACCCCATCATTCTGAAGTGTAATTAAATTAACTGCTTCTCAAAAGTAACTTTCCGAGATCTGTATTTGTTCATAGCTTTGATGTCACAAACAGACACCCCCCCCTTTCCTCTCTGCCCTTCTAAAGCCCTGGTTGCCATCCTAAAAACTCAATCACACGGAGATGTTGAAATACTCTTTTACATTTTGACTTTACTTCTTCTTGTTGTTGTTGCTGCTGATCTTAAATAAATTTAGAGGGTGGTTGCTTTTTTAAGCGATACCTAAAAGCTAATGCATGTCATCCCTCGGACATCTTATTGATCCAACTCTTTTGCCTACATTACTAGCACTTTAAATCCATTTAAACTATTCCCTGCCATTGGCAAATGAGAGGCGGGGGTGGTGGTGGAGTGGATGGGAGAGGAGTAGGAAGGGAGCAGGAGTGATTGCTAATCCCACCTGAGCCATCCCTCTAATCTCCTGTGTGTTTGGGGTTGGTTCTCTCTCTCTCTCTCTCTTTTTAAAAATGTTTTCCATCTAGCGATTACTGTCCTAGTGATGCGTCGGCCCTGGACATCTCGTACGGGAGGCCGTAATCCATTAGTTAAACAGATTAGTCCTTGTAGGAAGAGGGTTTGTGTAGTTCAGTGAGTAAAGCAATAGGGTTAATCTGTGCGACAGCCACGCAGGCGTCCGGCCCATAGCAACCAGCAAGGCCTGCGTCGATCTGAAAGAGGACCCGTCCTTGGAAACCACCCGTGGCTGAGAGTCTGTGGCTTCGGCTGTCACGTGGCAGCCTCTTCAGTGGATGCACGGGGAGACACAAAAGCTTTTCCGGGCTCTCTCAGTGCTTGGGTGAAAGAGACCAGGGGGGCAGGCTCCTTATCCCACGTGCAAACACACGGAAATGCAGTGTCTCGATTCGTTTGCTCAAAGCCGTCTGTTTCATTGATTAAAAACCTCTTGCCTTGTTCCACTGAAAGAACGATCGAGCCTTTCCTTTGAGAAATCTTTTGACCCTCTTGGAAGCCTCTTGGAGACACAGACAGTGGAAGGCAGGGTATTTATGGATCGATCAGTCGATTGATTGATTGATCGAACGATCAATTGATTGTTCCACCCATCCATCCAGACAAAGGGAGGGTGTAGGTGCCTGGATCCCATTCGTAATCCCAACAGGCTGGACCTGTACAACCGGGGGGGCGGATTTATGGAAGTGTGAACACACCCCACAGCAAACAGTCCAACAGGTTTTCTCCAGCTGAGACCAGCTTAGTGTCCTCCCTTGGCTTTCCTTTTGGTAGGACTTTGGACTGACTTGACTATGCTTTTTGGATTCTCCTCTTTTGGCCTGCTGCGACTACTGGACTGGCTTGACTTTGAGTTGTTCTTAGATTTTGGCTTTGATTCTCCCTCCGTCTGCTTCAGCGGTAGGGTCTCTTGACCCTGGTTGTGGATTCCCCTGCCTGGCCCTCTCTGTGGCTACAGGTGCCTTCGCCTGGCCAGACCTTTCCGGAGACTCGACTGCTTAGGAAACTGACATTTTCATAGCCATGGGCCTCCTTTGAACACCCTGTTCTCCACCATCAGATGAAGAAGAATCTTCTTACGCCCTGATTCTCTCCGTCTTGGAAGTGCGACACAAGAAGCACAACCTCAACCCAGACCTTTTGGAGCAGAAGGCCACCTCTTGAGTAGCACCCCATATTTCTGAAACCAAGCGGCCTCTTCAAAGGGTCTTCTCCCCCCACCCACCCACGCGCACGCATTTTCTAGTCCTTGCTGCCTCGTCCGGCCCTGGACCATCGTTTGCAGCTGTACATTAATTCCCCTTTCTCCTGTTTGCTTCTCCTGGCATTCCTACTGAGAGGGGAAAGCCGCTTAGATCGTTGTGGATTTACCCCGCCTTCCGCTAATTGCCGCAGGTCAGTTTTAATCACGCAAACAGCTGCACTTAGATTCCTCCTTCTTTTGCTCCTCGCCCGCTTTGCCCGTCCCGTGCTAATTATCATCCCAGGGAATCCCCCGCCCCACCCCAATCTCTTCTGGTTTGTATACAAGGAGACCTTCCTCTGAGGCTCGCATTTCTGTAGGGAGGGGAGAGAGAGACCCAGGAAGAGCCCCCAGCCCGCCAGGAAACAGATCTGATCTCCACTGGGGTGGGTGGGATTCAGGGACGTGGACAGCTCTGGGGTGAAATGAGAAAGGCAGCCGTCAGGCTCCCCGAATGGTTTGCTTCTTTCCTGGCATTTTGGGTCCCCCCAACTTAGTTCCAGAACTGAAAAGCGGTTGCCACGGATTGTGCCCCCGAGGCCCACACCAAAGATCTGAACTAGAAGAAAAAGGGGGGGGGACCAGTGGGACATGAGGAAGAACAGATTTGAGGGTGGGATGGAAATCGGACGGGCGGCCCCTGGTTAGACACCTTGAAACAGAGACTCGAGTTCAAGTCACGTTGGCTTCCTTGACTCTTAGCTGGTTGCTGGATGATAGAGTCACTTTTCGAAGTACAGTGCATGGCTTCAGATTTTTTTTTTCTGCAATGGAAGCTGTGCTTTGTCTCTGTTACATGTTGTTCTGAATTGCTTTCTTAGAGGCGCCCTGCTGTGAGATCACATCCTGCTTGTCTTGTCGGCTCCAGTCCAAGGTTGTGTGATGCCGACGGCCCACAAAAACCTCTCTTTCTTCCAGACCGCTTTTCTCCTCCATCCTGCACATCCTGAACAAATGGCCCAATTTCCCCCCATTTACAGCGCAGATCAATCCTTTAAACCTGTCTCCCATCACAGCTCAATTTTCGCTTTTACAATTAATTGCTCCGTCGCCTCTGGAAGTCTTTGCCAACCTAATATTTTATACAGCTAAACACTTTCTTTGGCTCTTCCGACAAAAGGATGGAGATATGAATCAAATACAGTAAAGCGAAAAAGAGAGAGTAGAGATGACCGTGGAAGGGAACCCAATCTCTGCCTTCCTGTTGGACCCCTCTACCTTTTAAACATTTAACCCATCTGTCGTGTTAATTTTCCAAATGCCCTAAACCAATGAGCTCACATTATTTTTTGAAACCATTTTTGGGGCATCCATTACTAGAAGCATTCAAAAAAAAAAAAGGTTTGCTGGGTTTAGCTTCCTGTAATTCTGCTGTTATTAATCCCCGGTGGCCACTCCGCATATATATTTAATGCCTCTCTGCTTCTCTGCATGCTTGGCCATTGATTACATGGGCGGGCGAACCCTGGACATTGCAAAGAAATCTCTTCTAACTGAATTAAGTGCCTGTCTCCTCTAGATATCATTTAAAATAAAATGCCTTCTCTAGGAAGACCTGGGGAATTTTTAAAAATTCAGTCCCCATTTATATCTATTAAAGCTATCCTCACGCTTCAACCTTTTTTTCCCGATGAAATACTTCTAAATCTTGCCATGCATGGATTCCCTTCTTTTGCAATGAAAGCCTTTGATTTTATGTTGCCCATTAATTAATAGGCTTCTGTTTCAGAATTCCAAACCGATGCCCCTTGAGAAGCCTGAAAAGGCAGGAAGAAATGAGGGGACGGAGGGGAGATGATGGCTTTTATTTATTCGTTTTTATTTTATTTTCTCCTGCTAAAATCAGACTGGCCTTTTGGGTGTTTGACAGAACTAGGCAGACTTGCAAAGGATGGCAGCATCAAAGAAATGGATGCCCCATGACAGACATGTGTCTTTCCACTTACAAAGATCTGGCTTCATATCAGCCATCCGCAATAGTTTTCTCTCCTTCCCCGTCACCGTATTTTGACATTGCCGTAATTATCTCCCTGATAAATGGAACGGGATGAGCAGGGAGACGTGTCTCTTGGAACAATGGTCATCTCAACCATGACCAGGTTAAGTGGAAGCGATGGCGTTGGTAGCTCTGAAGGGCGCTGGCTTGGGAAAAGCTTTAACCCTCTCGTCTCACAGGTCGGTTTGTATGCCTTTTGGAGAGGCTGGGTCTCGGGGCCTTGTTTCGGAAGACCGTAGGGATATATACCACTTGCCACTGGCGTGAGCCTTCTGGTTGACCTTTTTCTCATTCCCTCCTGTTGAACAGCCAGAAGAGTTGACCAACGCCCTGGAGATCAGCAACATTGTCTTCACCAGCATGTTCGCCCTCGAAATGGTCCTCAAGCTCCTTGCCTTTGGCATCTGGGGCTACATCAAGAACCCATACAATATCTTTGACGGCATCATTGTTGTGATCAGGTAGGTGGGCGGCTCATGTTTGCATCACCAGAGCTTGACAGACAAGGCCGTGTGGATGTCACGGGAAATAAGGTGGAGCGTTTCTCCTCATTTAACCCAGAAACTCCCAGCAAACGTCCCCCTTTTCAAACTTTGCTGGTTGTTAATGGACCAGCAAAATTAGGGAGGATGTGGCACTGGCCCAGATTCTCTTGATGCTTTTTCTTATTCCATTGCACAAAAGATGCAATGACGGCATCATCCACTACACCTGAAGGCAGCGGTTTCAGGGTCAAATTAGACATTACTGTCCTGATACTGCCCTTTTTCCTCTCCTAGAAGAGGCATTTCCCCGGGCATACATGCAAATTAAGCCTACATTTACCTTCCAATGACCAATCACAAAGCTTTCCATGCTCAGTGCAAGACACCGAGGTGAAAGCAATGGCAGAAATAAATATCTCTGCCAAACACGTGCAGAATGGATCAAGTTGATCCCTAGATGTGTGTGCAAATCAGGCTTCACGTAGGCTGCAAACCCCACCTCCTGTTGCCACCTCCCAGCATCTGCCGCCTGAGGCGACCACCTAATTCAGCAGGATGTTAACAGTTCCTGAGCAAGAGGCTGCAAGCTCAACTATGCCTCTTGCTTATAACCCACAGCGTCTGGGAGATCATTGGCCAGTCTGACGGAGGACTTTCAGTGCTGAGGACCTTCCGTCTCCTCCGGGTCCTCAAGCTGGTGAGGTTCATGCCGGCTCTCCGACGCCAGCTGGTGGTCCTGATGAAGACCATGGACAACGTGGCCACCTTCTGCATGCTGCTCATGCTTTTCATCTTCATCTTCAGGTATGCACCCGCCCATCGCTCGCTCTCTTCCCCCCCTCTCCCAAGGAATGTCTTACAGGATCACCTCCACCCTGCTTCCATTAGAGTCCAAGCGAGGCCCGTTTGCCAAGTGAGTACCGGGTGACAGCTGAGCTTACAAGATGCCTGTCAAAGATGATGACCGGCAGATTCTGCACGGCTGCTCCTTCACCAGATCCAGCCACTCGGGAGACAAATGAAGGACGCCAAGAGACTGCAGCGCGAGAACCGTTGCTTTATTTTTCTTGATAGATGACCAACGTCATAGAGGCAGCTCAATCAAAACTCCAAACAGAAGAGGGCTGAACGGGCCATGGACTCTAAATATGCCCCTCCTCTCTCTTTTAAACTTGCCTGCCTTGGCCCAACAGTCAGGCCACCTCTGACTCTCATGTCACCCCCAGAAATGCTGCCTTATGGATAACGACCTTCCTCTCCCCCTCTCTCTGTCTTTTCCAGCATTCTCGGCATGCATCTTTTTGGGTGCAAGTTTGGCCTGAAGACAGACACAGGGGACACGATGCCAGACAGGAAGAATTTTGATACTCTGCTCTGGGCGATTGTCACAGTATTCCAGGTAAGGTCTTGAAAGCAACCCCCCTCCTGCCTAGGAAAAAAAGGGTGCATTTCTCATTACATTCCAAAGCCTTCCAGCATCTCAAGCGGCTTCCGATGGGGTTCTCCATCTCTGGAGGATGCCGTGAGTTCAGTTTCACCGTGGCAGTGCAAGCATCTGAGTTTTGGTCCGAACTTTAAAGGTCCCGTCAAAGGTTCTGGACTTATTCTGAGGGCTAGGATTCAGTGGGGAAACCCAGTGGGATGTAGTGCACTGGTTCCCAACTTTGGGTCCCCAGATGGTCTTAAGACTAAAATTCCCAGAAGCCTTCACTTCCAGCTGTGCTATCCAGGATTTCTGGGAGCTACACTCTGAGCACATTTGGGGACTCAAGACTGAGTGATGGACTAGGACTCAGGAGGCCTGGGTTCAAATCCCCGCTCAGCCATGGAAGCTCACTGAGATGTAGTGCACTGGTTACCAACTTTGGGTCCCCAGATGGTCTTAAGACTAAAATTCCCAGAAGCCTTCACTTCCAGCTGTGCTATCCAGGATTTCTGGGAGCTACACTCTGAGCACATTTGGGGACTCAAGACTGAGTGATGGACTAGGACTCAGGAGGCCTGGGTTCAAATCCCCGCTCAGCCATGGAAGCTCACTGGGGAAGGACTGGAACTAGCAAAATCATTCCTTAATCGCCCCTTCACTTACCTTGAGAGCCCCGATAGGGCCGTGAGATGTCGGTTCCAACGCGACAGCGTAGAACGACATCAGGATTCAGCCCCTTTGGTTCGGTGCTATAATGTTCAGGATAAAACCCAGGGCAGGTTCATTGACCCGTTGATCTTGGTGTTTGTGGTTCAGAGAAGGCCACCCACTTGGGTTGCACTTTGCCAAGAAGGAGGTGGTAGGCTGGCCTCTTGTACTTTTAGGGCACCTTTTGGAAAATCTTGAGACGAAGAGAGAAAACGGACAAAGGCGTGAACTAGACAAAGAAACCCCGTGCATGCATTGGACCAGACGTGCTTAGACAGAGTTATAAGTGGGTGTGGAATACAATGGTGCCTCAATAGACGATGATAATCCGTTCCACTGAAATCGCTGTTTAGCGAATTCATTGTCTAGCGAAAAGCATTTCCCCATTGGAATGCATGGAAACCTGTTTAATGCATTTCAATGGGGAAGAATCGTCGTTGTCTAGCGAAGATCGGCCATAGGAAAGCCGCTTTGCGAACTGCCAATCAGCTGTTTAAATAGCTGTCTTGTGAAGGTTAGGTCCCCAAAACCCCCGTTTGTGAGCGTGGAGGGAGCTGTCAAAATCATCGTCTAGCGAAAATCGGTTTGCAAAGCAGGGACCAAACATTGTCCAGCGAAATTCCCCCATAGGAATCACTGTTTTGCGAATCGCTATAGCAGTCGCAAAAAGTCAATGTCTAGCGAAAAAACTGTCATGTGGGGTAACTGTCTAGCGAGGCACCACTGTATCTTTCTTTCTTGCAGCAGCTTTGCAGAATCTGGGAGAGTATTTTATTTAAAACCAGCTCTGGACAATTTGTGCCCATGGACAGGGATCAGCTGCGTAGGAGTCCCTGCCCCGAACGAGAGGTCCAGGTCAAAGGTTCTGATCCTGGCCCAGGGGAGGTCAAGTCAAAGGGCCAGGTTCTGGGTGAGGCCAAGGTCAACACAAGGCAAGAGTGTCGCGTGAGATCAGCACTCTGGACAGCGCCATGTGAAGCTCAGGAGGGCCCCCGTGGCTACCCCAGGCTGAGCTGCCCATCGAGGGAGGCTCGGTCAGCACAAGAGATGAATTTGATTTCCAGAAAGCCCCTTGCAGAGCTGTTACTGCCAGGAGCTAAGGTTTCATCATAATCATCAAGCCCCCATAAAAACTGGGAATCCTTTAAGATACCAGCTTCATGGGGAAGAGAGAATCTGGTGAAGCCCGGTGGGACAGCTCAGGACAGAACAGGACCTAAAGCTTCCCGACCCCAGCCTTAAACAAAACTGGGTCTCCCACTGGTCTCCTAGCCTCTTCTATCAGTGGTTGACTTATCAGGAACAAGGGAGATGAGCCGGAACTCCTCTGAATGCACAGCTTGAAACACACACACACACACCCAGACTGTGGGAAGGGTTGACTTATCAGGAACAAGGGAGCTGAGCAGGAACTCCTCTGAATGCCCAGCTTGAAACACACACACACACACACACACCCAGACTGTGGGAAGGAGGCGAATGGATGTTGTTACAGGTAAGACCTGGTCTCTGTGTGACCTAGGAGGTGGAAAGCAGACCCCCAGCATCGGTGCCTTGCTCCGCTCAGGACCTGAACCCGCCAATCCGCCCATCTGCCGTTCCAGATTGTGGCAATGACCGTTGGCTTAAAGGGGCTTTCAGAGGAAACCAGACGGGACTGATCCATGGAATGAGATCTATCAATGGCTATGACTTGGATAACCAAGTAGCACTTCCACATCCAGATGCAGTATACCACAGAAAGCCAGCTTCCAGAGAAGAGTGTGACCACAGAAAAGCTGTTGCATCTGCTTTTTTCCTTGGGCGATCCCAGGAGACCTCTGCCAGTCCACAGAACATGGTGAAGTTCCTTTCCTGCATTGCAAACCCCCAAATTTGCCCACCCCCCAAGACATCCTTGGCGTGAGCTTCTGGGATCTGGGATCCAGGAAAGGAACTTTTTCCTAAGCTCCGGCCATGTATTAACGCCGGACTTACATGGGCCTTTGATTTGGTTTGGCAAATTGTTCTCATCCTCAGAAGTCAGTAGGTCAAACATTGGATTGATCCGTCCGGTAAGTTATTGCCGTGCACGACGTCACGAGCAAGCTTTTCCTTATCTCTGAAATGACGTGATTTGGAAACGGAAGGCCTTTACGAGACAAATGACTCGAACGGCCGTTGTGACGAGGAGCGATCGTCTCCGTTTCAGGCCATCCTGACTTATGTCAACAAGAGATGATAAGTAAATAATTGACTGCTGGCAGAAATGGACCTCTGTCCCCAGTCGTTCCGGCTTCCATTGTCTCGTTTTAATAGAGGTGCTGGCACTCTTTGCGGAGAGAATCGGGTGGGCAAATAGACTCGGCGCGAGGCAGGAAGGCTGCTCTCGGTAGCGCCTGATAAGGTTAATGGTAAACATGCCCCCCACTCAAACTGAAGGGGGTTCTCCATGACCGAGTCCACCTCCAGGCCTCTTTTCTGTTTTGTGGCAGCTCCAACGATTAGTTAAGCAGTTTTTTTCATCTCATAAAAGCCCGGCTCCTTCATTTATTTATAAGGTTCCCTCCAGTTCTGCAGCTCTATTCTTCTTCTTCTTCTTCTTCTTCTTCTTCGTCTTCTTCTTCTTCTTCTTCTTCTTCTTCTTCTTCTTCTTCTTCTTCTTCTTCTTCTTCTTCTTCTT